GGTATGGGTGAACTCGATATCGAATGGGTGTTCGTATTTTGTGATTTTTACCCGATTTCGAGACGTGGGCCCGGGTCAACTTTTTGGGGCGATTTTTCAATCCTTTGCTAGAGTCGTAGTTTCATTATTTAAATTAGTTTTTTGTAGTTGTATTCATAGTATGTAATTGCTTTTGGATAGATTTGGGCCGTTCGGAGTCGGAAAATCAAGGGAAAGGCATTCTTATTGACTGACTGAGCTCGGTTCGAGGTAAGAGACTTGTCTAACCTTGTGCGGGGGAAATCCCCTTAGGACTTGGTGTTGTTGTAATAATTTGTGATATGTGAACGCCGTATACGCGAGGTGACGAGTGCGTACACGGGCTAATTGTGAAAATTTTAGTTTTTGCTGAGTAGTCTTCTTTTAAATTCCTTAACTGAATTGACTTAGCATGTGTAGTTGTCATGTTTAGCCTAGTATCGCATGTCTACGTGTCTTAAACTTTACTTGAAATTCATGCAACATGCTTAGTTGAATTTCATATTTCATTGATTATTATATTCGGTCTTTAACTGTAGTATTCCTTGTCGTAAATTCGTTGTCCCATAATTCATAAGTTGTATATTTACTTTTGGGACTACGAGGCGGTACTTCGGGAGATCCCCTGTTGCATATTTACTTTTGGGACTACGAGGCGGTACCTCAGGAGATCCCCTTATCGTGTATTTACTTATAGGACTACGAGGCGGCACCTCGGGAAATTCCCTTGTTGCATATTTATTTTTGGGACTACGAGGCGGCACCTCGGGAAATTCCCTTGTTGCATATTTATTTTTGGGACTACGAGGCGGCACCTCGGGAGATCCCCCTGTTGCATATTTACTTTTGGGACTACGAGACGGTACCTCGGGAGATGCCCCTGTTGTGTATTTACAGCTGGTACTACGAGGCGGTACCTCGAGAGCGCCCCTGTTGGTTTACCTCTATTTGTTGTGTTGTTACCTTTCTGTAATTTCTTGTTGTTCATTTCTTAATCATTCATTGTATTATTATATTTTCTGCCTCATTTCCTTTTATTCCAGTAGGGCCCTGACCTGACCTCATCACTACTCTACCGAGGTTAGGCTTGGCACTTACTGAGTACCGTTGTGGTGTGCTCATACTACACTTCTGCACATCTTTTTGTGCAGATCTAGGTTCTTCCTACCTGACCAGATACTAGTGAGTTGGACCGTACAGGGAGATTTCAAGGTATATCTGCCAGCGTCCGCAGACCTCTGAGTCCCCCTCTATTCTTATTATGTTGCTTCCCTTATTCCCTTTAGACTTTGATGTATAGAGACACTTAGTATTTTCTCTTAGAAGCTTGTAACTTATTTCTACCGGATTTTGGGAGTTGTATCTATTTCGAATCGTAATTTGATTTATGTTGTATGTTGAGATTTGAGTTTCAGTTTTATATTTCTATTATTTCGCATAATTGTTACCTAGTCTTAGAAACTAGGTGCCATCACAATATCCTACGGAGGGAAATTGGGGTCGTGACAGAGAGCCAACTGTTGAGGGTGACCAAATAGAAGTTGATGATGATGTTTTAGAAGAAGGTGAATCTGATAAAGATACTTAAAGTAGCTCAGCTTCTGAACATGATGAGCTGTTTGAAGAAGGTGTTGAAGACTATGTTAGTGATGTGCATGAAGAGTTTAGAGATTTCAGGCAAGAGAGAAGGTCTTTTCAGAGGAAAAAAATAAGAGGGTAAGAGCACCTGACAGTAAAAAAGTTCCTTTAACTGAAGGAAGTCCTAAGTCAAAACCTGATTTAGGATATGATGAGCGTGCTGCTGCCCAATAAACTCCTGGCCAAAAAAGGAACTTAGATGGTATTTTTTGTGGTGATGAACTTTACTATGGAAGCTCTGAAGCAGGCAGTTTTGAAACAGATTATGAGGCAGATGGGGAAGAAGTTGAACAGAAGATAAAATCTTTCAAGAGGAAGAAGGATACTAAAAGAATTATATTTGAACTACTTGTGAGAAGATTGTTTGGGAATTGGGACTTGTATTTGAGAATGTTGATAAGTTTAGAGAAGCAGTGACAAAATATGCAATTCAAGAGAAGAAACAGATTGAAAAGTATGTGAATGAACCTGGAAGAGTTAGAGTGAAGTGTAGCAAAGAGGTTGTAAGTGGTTATTGTTTGCAAGTTTTGATGAAAATAGTAATAACTTTATGGTTAAAACATACTACCCAATTCACAAGTGTGTAGAAATTAATAGAAACCATCTTTGCAACTCCAAATATTTGGCCAAGCGATTTAGGGACAGAATCATTGAACAACCAAATATAAGGATTTTTAAGTTTCAAGAGACTATAAGAAAAGAATTGGGTATTCATGTTGGCAAGACAACTGCTATGAGAGATAGGGCCAAGGTGTTGACAGAAATAATGGGTGATCACATTGTTGAATTTAAGAGAATTCATGATTATAGGGATGAAGTACTAAGAACCAATCCAGGTAGCACTTGTGTGTTTAAAGTTGGAGAGAGAGATGCAAATGGTAAGCTTGTGCTTTTGTCATTTTATGTCTATTTTGATGCTTTGAAAAAAGCATTTCTATATGGTTGTAGAAGGTGTATTGGTTTGGATGGTTATTTTCTAAAGGGGGCATGTAAAGGACAACTATTGGTGGTTGTGTGTAAAGATGGCAATAATCAAATGATGCCCATTGCCTTGGCTGTTATGAAGTATGAAAATGCAACTACATGGTCATGGTTTGTGAAGTGTGTGCAACATGATCTTCAACTAGGAGATGGCATAAATCTGACACTAACTTCAGATATGCAAAAGGTCATTTCTATTCCATAACTAATTCTGTAATTCCATATCATCTCTTTTTAATTATTTATTGACAATTTATTTTCTTGTAAGGACTGGAGTGTGCTATAAGAGAACTTCTACCAATGGATGAACATAGGATGCATGCCATACACATCTTAGCTAATTGGTCAAAACACTTGAGGGGTATTAAGAGAAGGAATGCATTTTGGAGGTGTGCAAAATCCATATATGAAGCTGAATTGAAAATGAATCTGGATGAACTTAACATGTTAGGAAGTAATATTGTTGAGGATTTGTTGTACTACAATAAAAGAAAGGTGGTGTAGGATTTACTTCTCAAAGTTTAGTAAGTGTGATGTGGTAGACAACAATATGGCTGAGAGCTTCGATGCATGAATTTTAGCTGCAAGGCACAAAACAATAATTACTATGTTTGAATAGATTAGATTGAAGATGATGAAGAGGATTGCTCAGCTAAGAAACTTCTCAAATACATGGATAACTGACATATCTCCTATGGCTTTGAAGAATTTAGAAGAAAATATTTCAAAGTCAATGAAATTCACAATTCATTGGAATGGTGAATATGGTTATGAAATAGAGGAAGGGCCATATAAAAAGCACATTGTAAGTATGGATAATCTGAGTTGTAGTTGCAGAGCATGGCAACTTAGAGGCATTCCTTGCCAACATGCCATTATAGCAATGCATTTCAAGAGACTAGAGCCTATAAGGTATATTGCTCACAGGTATACCAAAGAAACCTACCTCAAGACTTATTCACACTTTATTCAACCAATGAATAGTATGGACATGTGGCCACAATCTAAAAATCTACCACTAGCACCTCCTGAAATCAAGCCAATGCCAGGGAGGCCAAAGAAACTAAGAAGGAAAGAAGTCACTGAATCCAGAAAAATAGGAAAGTTGAGTAGGTGTGGGGGCCAAGTGACTTGCAGTTTGTGTAAAGCAAATGGACACAATAAGAGAGGTTGTCCACATGCTGAAGGTTCAACATCTGTTGTTGTTGCTGCTACTACTACTATTGCTGCTTTATCAATTGTTTCTGCTCCTGCTTCACCAATTGATGTTGTTGCTACTTTAGCATCTGTTCCATATGCTGGAAGAGGAAGAGAAAGAGGTAGAGGAAGGGGAAGTGCCCCACCTACTGCTGCTGCTTCATCATCTTGTGGTTCAACAAGTATTTCTAGAAGAGGTAGGGGAAAGAAAAGTGCTCCACCTACAGATTCATCAAGTATGCCATATGTTGATTCAACAAGTGCTTTTGTAAGAAGAAGGACTAGATGAAGGGGAAGTGAAATGGATGCTAGAGGAAGGGGAAGGGGAACTGGTGGCTTTGAGAGTTCAAGTGGCTTGGAGGGTTGGTTTAATTGTTCACGGGGGTCTGTTAACAATGCTCCTGAAAAGGGAAGGAATCCAACTGGTTCTGGCCCTTTTAAAAGGCCAAGGATGGTAGGGGTTGGTTTAATGGTTGCTGACAGTGGATACACTGCTTTCAATGTAAGTATTTAGTGTTGTTCTTCAATTTATAGATAATAAAACTTAGGTTAACTAGCATTGCTCTTCTTTCTTGCAGCCTGGCCTACCAAGTCAAAGGGTTGTGAATCTTGGAGCAAGAACAGTTACAAGTTCAGCAAAGGTTATTAGAGACATTGGATATCAGCCGAGAACATGAGTGAAATGGAAAGGAAAAGCAACAATAACCTCAAGGAGACTACAAAAAATGAGGGGAAATAAAATAATTCAAACAAGATCAAAGAGGGATGCTGCAGCAAAGAATGCAAGCCAGAACACAACATCTGGAATTTAGAACCTTTAACTATTTAGACTATGTATTATGTAGATTAAGTACTTCCTTTTGTTAATATTGCACCTGTATGTTGGCTTCTTTTTGTTGATACTGCACTTGTTTTGTTGGTTACCTATTCTGCTTATAGCAGACTCAAACAATTTATGCAAATGATCTGTTTGGTATTGCTTTAGTTAATGTCGTTCATTATTCTCTTGTAACTATGCACATGCAGCAAATGATCTGTTTGGTATTGCTTTAGTTAATGTCGTTCATTATTCTCTTGTAACTATGCACATGCAGCAAATGATCTGTTTGGTATTTCTTTAGTTAATGTCGTCCATTATTCTTATGTAACTATACACATGCAGCATATATGTACAAACTCAAGTTCCATTCATTGTTGTTCAACCAAAAAAAGGAGATTAACTCCTACAAACTACAGAGAATTGGAGCTCCGAACTACAGTTAATGTCACAAAAATCGGAGATTAACTCTAACAAACTACATAGAATTTGAACGATTACCATATAAACAGATAACATATAATCAGACACAACAAAATACATAAGATGCCCTTCCTATTATAAAGATTCCAGCTGTGATTCATCTTCTCCTTTTGGTTCAACCCTTGATTGATCATCTGATGACCCTCTAACTCTTGCTCAACCTCCGTCCATTATTCATTCTCTATCTCATGCTCAATTTCCACCAATTGAGTCTTCAATGATTCATAATTGGCTAATCCTTCTACAATCTCCCTCAATTTATTCACCAATCGTGGAAGGACAAACCTAGAACGGTCATCAATAGCACCCCTCCATCGAAAATATTTACAAACTTGGTCTGAAATTTGAAGAGATATAAATCATTTCAAAGTAACCAGAAAATAGGGACAATATCAATCCAATTGTCCAAATACTTACACCATAGTATGGACAAGACCATAACCGTCTTTCAAGGTTCCTAGTCGACCAAGAAGTTTGCAATGACAGCAAATCTCCATGCTTGCAACGCACCTTCAGATTCAACATTGGGTCATGCTCGTCCATACAAAGTTGATTCAAGTTAATTGCTTCCATTTCAAACACTGAAAAACAAAGAATTAGCCCAGATTAATTTCAATAGAGAACCCTAAAAACAATCCGTAAAATATGACTAAGAAAATTAAAGATTGAGGAGGAGAAGTTAATACTATACAAGAAGGCTGCAATGCAAAAAAAATCCCTTTCGATTCACCAAAATCGAGCTTCAATGGCGGATGAAATTGGGTGTGAAAAAAGAGAAAGAATTCTAACCTAATTAAATAAATGGTATGTGACCGTTAAATAAAGGTATGGAAGTATAAATTATATCATTCATGCGCTCAAAAATCGTGCAGACACGATGTGTGCCAGCTGGGCCACGAAGGTGTATTTTAATTCACTAAAAATATATACAGGGAGGGTCATAGGACACCCGTATTTTTAAGGGGTGCAACTGACACTTTAGTACTACCCCAATGGGGTAATTATATATTATCCCATCCAGAAATGCTATACTTTATTTTGTATGAATAAAATCACTCAATATAGTGCTTCTCTAATAAAATAACAACCAAATTTGTCTTAAAATAATATGACACAGCAAGATAAATTATTTTTTTATGTCATATACACTTGAAACTCACAAATAAAACAAACTTAAAGATGACCTATATCTTATACCCAACCTACCCACCCACGGACAAATCAAAATGGATATAATCTAAATTATACATATATTAGATTTGGTGGCACTACTTTCCAAATTTTGATTTTGTAGTTCATCACAAAATATTATCCTATTTATATTTTACGAGAGATATATAAATAACCCAAGACATTTATCTAAATAATATGGAAGAAATTTATGTAGTATCATTTTTTTCTATTTAAATTGTAAATGAACGCGGAAAATAATGTCCGTTTTACGTTCTTTGGGCATATAATCGGTTTGAACTCTTTCCCTGCATTAGCAAGTTCTCTCTCTTTTCCTGTAGGAACATTTGTAGATTTAGTATCTCAAACTCCAATGCTTGTTTTGAATCAAGCAATTCAAAGTATCTATCAATTTTTTCTCGAGAAAAATACAAGGAAGTGTTGTGAATACATTATTCGATGTTATATTGGTTATTGGTTTGCCTACTTTTCTTACATTTTCTATTATTATTTTTACATTTGTTTCATTATTATTTTTGTCTTTGTATGTAAGCTTCTTCTGCTTTCAAAGCTAAGCTTCTGTAGAGACGACGGGAGCACCACCAAAGACAGATGCGTCGAAGAGATGTCACGTAACACTATCTTATCTAAAATTTTATTAATGGTTTGTTTGAAAATTCATATGTAATTACTAGACTGTAATTACTAAGGTAGTAGTTCCACAATATAATAATTACAATGACCTGTTTGTTTGTCATGATGTAACTATGATATAATTATATGTATCATGTTTGGTTGTACAAGTGTAATTACAGTGGATATGACATATACTTTATAACCATTGGGCAAAGTTTTTAGGTATGGTTTAGGTAAGGGCTGCAGATTGTATAGAAATTATTTATGTGAAGTCATGTGGTTAGTGGCACATGAATCTAACATCGAAGGAGTTCTACCTAACTGAGGAGACAAACAATGTACAACATAATTAACTGCAGGTAACTGAAACATTGGAAGGTGACACACACCCACAAAGTTGGCATATGTAACATTTTCACCAAAGGAGGATGATGACCATGGGAGATATGAGCCTGTTGGAATACTGACATGAGATGTTAACATTGTTCTTTATCGAAACCATAAGCTATGGAGTCACCAGGTTTGGCCATAGGTACCAAATCAGAATGATTTTCTTCTACTTGGACACAGGATGTAACCTCTTGTTTTTCGAGAACTTGAAATCATCAGGGAAGCCATGAAGCATGTAGCACTTATCCACTGTGTGCCCAAGCTTCTTGCAATACTTGCAAGATAGAGAGGATGAAACCTTTTTTGAATCAAAATTGTTCCTTTGACTATAAGACGTGGTGTTAGATTGTTGGTTCAAATGATGGGATGGATGATTTGAAGTAGCAAAAAAAGATGTTAAGTCACTAGAAAACCCAAGAGCTAGAGGTTGATTCTCCTTTTGACTTTCATCATGCTGAAGTAGAGAGTAAGACTCACTAATATGAGGGAGAGGAGACATCAACATGATGATGCTCTTGACTGTGGAATAAGACTCATTTAGTCCACTGAGGAATTGGAAAAGATGTTGATCTTCAATGAATTTGGGTAGAGCTCCACAAGATTAGGTGGGTCCAACATAAGCAGAATTCAGTTCATCCCAAAGTGTCCTCATCTTCGTGAAATAGGTGGCAATATCAGAAGAACCCTATGAGGTAGAGCTGATTTCTCTTTGGATCTGAATGTATTTGGACTCATTCGATTGCCCAAGTCTTTCATTAATATCTCTCCATACATCTTTAGCAGTAGTGAGACACATAACACTTACTACTATCTCCCTAGTCTATTTAATAATCCAAGCTTTTACCATATCATTACATCGTTCCCATAGGAGTAACAGGGAGATTCAGGTGGCGGCCGAGGGACTTTACCAATGATTAGCCCTAATTTGTTCTTAGTTGACAAGGAAGTTAACATACTACTACGCTAGTGAACAAAACTAGTTCCATTAAAATAAATAGCAACCAATTGACTACCAGGACTGTTGGACGGATGCACATATAAGAGATGAGATGAATCTTTAGTAGACTCAACAAAACCATCACTAACGGCTTAAGGACTCGCCATGACTATATGATATACCTACAAAATTCAAGAAAATTAAAATACCATATGAAAGCTATCAAGAAAAAACGAGAACAACAGCACGAAAATCAATTTTTCCCGCAAACTTTAGACAAAACCTTCATTTCGTGTTGATTAGAGACATGCAAATGGAAAGGAGCAAATTTTACCCACCTTATTTATATCCCTGAAGAAGCTAAGGCCTTGTAAGTATAGAATTAGATGAAAACGCGAAAAAATCCTAGACTCAAATCAGGCGAATCTCACAGCACCAAACACAAAACGTCGAAACTCCGACAACAGGTACTATCGGACGGAAGCTAGCAACAAGACGGATCGGATGTCACGCTCTGATGCCATAATAGATTTTGTGATATTCAATCGATCGAGATTGAGATTTCGAAAAAGAACCCTAGATCGGGTAATTGAAGAGAGAGAAATGACAGAAAATTTAGAAATTGAATATCTCTCTCTTTTCTTTTCTTTTTTAATTCTAGAGAATTATCATGCTTATATACTTATTACAATTGGGCCGGGTATAATACACTTAGGCTCACATAGTTATTACATTGTAATGAGCTGAAAAATGAAAATAAGACTAGGACTAGACTGCTTTCAAGCATTGGGCCTCGTCTGCTGATCATTAAGCTCAACAAAGGCTGGCACCACTTCTTTAAATTCAGATGACAACCCTAGCGCACTTCTGACTCGTTTTTTTTTCTTTTCTTTTCTTTTTCAGTTTTGGTGGACAAAATTGGTCACAACTGAGACTTCTGAGTTCAGGCCATTACTCTTGGCATCCTAGCATCAGTTGGTCATAACTGACACTTCTAACAGGTCCCAAGCTACACCACTCTTGACACTCTACCAATCCATCACTCTAAGTCTCAGTCTCAAGCGTTGATCAACTTGCTTTAAAAGTAATTGTTATAGATTGAAGATAAGAGTTTAATTCAAAAATTAACTATGAAGAGCTTATTCATGCTACAAATCTATTATCAATACTCGGTTGCGATTAATGAGGAATTCAATTGGTTCACATACGATATACTTAACTTCTTCGATACAGTGGTGTTTTTCACGCGGTTGACAAACTAAAGCCGAGGGTTGATGAATAATGCATTTTCACGCCTGGGAATGAGGTACTATTCATTAGCCATGAGAGGGAGGATAAATGTCAACTCACGTTTACAAATTAGAAATAGTAGTTGCGACTTGTCAGGCCTTTCTTTTGTTTAATAAAAAATGAGGCTTCTATAGTTTTCTGCGTTAGGAATGTATCGGCATCCCCAACTCGCGCTCTTGGTCAAAGTAAAAGCATAATACTAGTATAAGTTATAACATTATAACTAAATAATAATGTGTTCCCTGTTGGAGATAATTATATAGTATTTCTTAAGTTTTTTCTAAAATCGATCATTGTATTTGTATTTTAGATTATCTGGTTGTTCTCCTACTTTTGAAAATTAAAATTTTATAGCCGATATTATTGTTTGACCCACTTATATTTTTCCAGTTTTATTGTGGTGTTAGTGGAGGTCATATTCAGTCTTATTTGCAAGAGCTTGAGATTTATGCACTAACACCTGTAAAAATATGTATATACAATCATGTCACTAATCATTAAATAAATACAGGTAAACTTCAATGATAAATATTCATTGATAATATAATAAAATTATAACCAACTTTCTCCAATAGTTAAACTGCGCTTTTAGTTTAAACTTTTCGTATGCTGACAGTGAATATAATTAAAACAATTTATTTAATGAAATATAATCAGGCTAATTTATATATGGAAAAAGGGTCAAATATATCCCTTTACTAAGAGAAAAGGATTAAGTTTACCCTCCGTTATACTTTTGGTCTAAAAATACTCCTGCGATTATACAATTGGCTCAAATATGCCCCTCCTCCGTTAAGATTGTCCAAGGTGGACGCCCAATCCCATATGGCACTGGAATTTTGGCCACGTGGCATGCCACCTCACTGCCCCTACCCATTTTACCCCTCTCCTTTACTTCTTCTTCCACTAACACCCTCAAAGCTTCACATCAGGAAAAGCGCCTCACCAGAAACAACTTCCAAGCTCTTGGGGACATGATATTAAGAATTAAGGGAAAATGGTAAACTACTAGAATCATACCTAATACGACTCAAAAGATTACACTCAGGTGTATCCTTACTATTTTCTAACTTCAGGGTACATATGATGACATAAGATCCAATTAGTTAATTATTATTTTTATAAAAATTATTTGTACCAATTTGTAGATCATTTTTTCAATTATACTGGAAAAGGTGGATGATGGATATAACGTTCAGGTGATTTTGAAAATATTGTTCTCGTGACGGTTTTGAAGATTAAGGGCTATAAAACATAACAGTTGAGAACTTGAATGAAATTGATTTAAGATTCTTATATGAATGACGACATAATTCATCACCCTCAATTAATTAAAAAATAATTTAAGACAACCAAATATTTTTATCACAGACTTATATTTTTTTGAAAACTTTTAAGTGACTTGGGAATGCTTACAGAAAGTCAAACTTCGGTGTCCTAATCATAAAATGAAGTGAGGTAAAATTTGAATTGTTGCTTACCCCTGGTAACACTCTATAAGAAATATGATATTAGGAAAAAAAGAAGACTTGGGAAGTTATAGGGAGAAAGGTGGAAATGGTAAAAATAGTGGTGGTTATGGTGTTAATGGCGGCACTTTCGGTGAAGGGGTAGGAGGTACTAGTGGTGGAAGAAGAAGTGAAGGAGAGGGGTTAAATGGGTTGGAGCAGTGAGGTGGCATGCCACGTTGCCAAAATTCCAGTGTCACTTGGGATTGGGCGTCCACCTTGGATCATCTTAACAGAGGAGGAGCATATTTGAGTCAATTGTATAACCGCAGGGATAGTTTTAGACCAAAAGTATAACGGAGGGTAAACTTGATCCTTTTCTCATAGCAGATGAATATATTTGACCATTTTCCCTTTATATATTAAATCATAGTGCTGTTAATATGGAACTCACCTTACTTTAGACAAAAATGATAGTTTCATGAGACAATGCTTGAAAAGCTTATTTCTAATCATTATATGAGAGAAAATACTATAAATTTTTATGCATACTTAACCACTTGCGATGGGGAAAAATTCCGTTCTATTAAATCGTTGTCTTCTTCAATGGCATATATAGCTTGATGTTTGGCGTAAATGAGAAATTAGAGGTGAATGCAGAATTTTGAGTTCATGAGGTTTGGATTTTAGAAAAGGTAGCTTATTAGGTTTTGAATGAATTATTTATATATATTGAATTTCTAAATACAAATACAATTTTTTGGTCAAACCTACTCGTTCTGTTGAACTAGCAACTAAAATATTTCGTTAATACCAAGAGGGCACGAATCATCATTTTAAAGAGAATACTTGTAGTCTCTATGCCTTGCCATATATTTTCAACAACACAATCTTGAAGAATTTCTATTATTCTTTGACACAATAATGGTAGCTCCTGTAGTACTGTTTATCTTCATTTGGGTATCAACATTTCTGTTGCATCAAATGAAAAGCGAATATACTTTATTGTAGGGGTATAATTTAGGAACCACAATACTTTCTGCGTGTTCATATTTGTATCTACGGATGTACAAATCGAACGGGAAAAATTACACCAAACCGAAAAATCAAACCAAACCGATTAAAAAACTTGACTAGGTTTGTTATTGAGTAAAAAAGCCCGAACTAAACTGACATATAAATATATAATTTTTTATATATAATTTTAAGACTTTATATAGAATTTTATTTAAAAAATGTCTAGAAATATTTGAGATCCTCTCATGGGATATAATATTTAATAGAACTATAAAGTGCATTCATTTTTATTTACTTTAAATAATAGATTATATCACTTTCTTATTATATGTTATTGAAATGCGTCAATCATCTTTTTGTTTTTTCATATTCATATGTCAAGATTTCTTATATCTTTTTCGAATTTGCAGTGGTATTTCGATAATCTAAAATTACATAGAACATATCATTATTTGGGTATCATATTGATTTTTATGTTTAATTATTAAATTTGGTTAACCCTGAAAGTGTACATCAATCAAAAATTATTGGTAGACGACTAAAAAATTAAACTATTATGTGTTATTAAAAAAATTCTCCCATAAGATTACTTTAATGGATCATATGTTAATTTTTTAAAAAAATTTTAGTAAACATATATTCACTTGTCAAAACATTATCTATAACTTTAATAGTGCAAGATTGAAATAATATTCACGTAATAAAAAATCCGAAAAATCCGACAAAAAACCGAACCAATCCAAACCGATATAATTGGTTTGGTTTTGATAAAATCCGAACCAGCCCGGTCCATGTACACCCTGTTTGTATCCATTTGGCCAATATTCTTTTCTTTTTTATTTCATAACCTAAGGACGTGGCAACAAGTTTCTAGCACTTCATTAACTCAAATTGTGTTTGTAAAACATGAAAGAGTCTAAACAGGAAGGTTGCCGTGGTTGCAAATATTTAATTTTTTTTAAATACTATAGTTATGACCTAATCTGAGATGACTTTGTACCAAATGTTTAATTTGGAATATCAACATCCAGCTGCATTTAATTAATCCTCATCGTTGAATTCGATCCAAACTAACTTTATCATGAAAAACAAACTTAGTTGCAATTAGAATAATAACCAAAAAAAAAAGAAGAGCAAAAACTTCATTGGCTCTCCTCCTGCCTTTATTCTTTTTTATTTTCCATAATTGGCATCACAAGCATCTAATTGTTGGCGTTCACATCAGCGCAGCACTTCAGGATATTAAAATCTGTACTGTGAAACGGTAGAACTCACATCTTGAACAAAAATATTAGAACAAAATGGTCAAATGAAAGTTTTAACAATAAATACACCTATAATAAACTTGCTTAAGAAAATTGACTACCCTTATATATCTTTAACTTCATTGCGTAGCTCATAAGCAACAAACAGAAAGCGATTGGAGACAATAATTTTTAAGTCAAGAAAACAACGCCATAATTTTGATAGGAACGAGCCCAATTGTAGTAAGGATGTGATTAGTTCTAATGTTTTATCTTGAAGATGAGATTTCTCATTATTTTATCCAACTAAATGGGACGAAACTTGAGCTTCATATTTTAGGTGGTGTATCAAACATAATAAGATTTATAAAAGAAGAAAAAGAATTGTATTAGGAAATAGAGTTCATAATATCCTGATTAATGATATTTTAAGGATGACCAAATTCATCGAGGGATTTAAAAAGGAAAATAGAAGGTTATAGATCTAGAGCGAAAAAGAGTTTATAACTTGAGCCAACTTGTAAAACATTTCTGTATTAATTTAGAGCAAACTAGAGTATAAGTGGAATATAGATCTGAAAGTCTAGCTTATTATCAAGATAAGACATTTAAAATATATTTTCTAACTAAAAGCAT